TAATGTTTTTTTTAATTTATGTATTACATTCTTTCTATTTTTTTTTAATTATTATTATTATTATTATTATCATCATCATCCATGTGTATTCTTCTCTCAATGTTCAGCCCTTGAAAATAGAATCCACCTAAATGACATTTTCTTAAACCCTTGCTATGAACTTGCTGTAGTTCAGAGTTACTAAAAAGATCCAAATTATTTTTTGTTAGCAAGCTAGATTTAAAAGAAAAGGTTGGGATTTATAGTTCCTTGACAGCTCCCACCATGCCTGCCTCAGTCACCATCCACTCTTCCTGATTCTGGAAGCAATGTTCTTGTGAATCTTCTCATCTGTAAAAATGAATGTTTCTGTCTGTGTTTTTGTTGCTGTAGATGACACAGAGCTCCGACACATTGCCCCGTCTGCAGTCAAAGAATGTCACTCGGCAGTCGCAGCGTGTGTCCTGGAGGCTGTGAAGCACAATGTAGACAGAGCAGCCCTCAGGTATATATGTTTCTATAGAAATGAGCCTGGAACTGACTTGTGTGCGACAGACCTGCTCATGGTGTCTGCTGTCCCCACAGCTCCCTCCTGGAGGAATGCAAGTTCGATAAAGAAAGGACAGAAGAGTTTTGGACAGAATATCAGGTTTAGATGTTCACATTGTGTGTGTTGTGTAGTGTGTGTGTAGTTTGTGTGTGTGTTAATTGTCAGTCTGATGTGTTACAGAAACACAAGGAACCTCTGGAGATCCTTCTAGGAAAGTGAGTTCAGACTTTTGTTGTCATGTCATTGTGCATTTGGTGTAATCCCCAATATAATTAGGAAGTTCTCTGGCACATTAAAGGAAAGGAAGTTCTTTCATAAATGGACTTGTTAGTGATTGGCCTGTTGGCTCACTCCAGTGTTTGTCCTTTACCTTCAGCATAGGCAGATGTCCCCCACACCTCTCGGATGTGTCCTGGCGTCTGGCATATGAAATCAAGGTGATGGGGATCTTTGTGTATCAAGTGCTTTTTGTTTTGTGTATCGATTGTAAATCCTTCAGCTGAGACCATTCTTCTTTATTTTTTAACCCTTCAGACTAATCAGCTGCACAAAACCTACGGACCGTCCTACTTTGTGAGATTCAGTTTAGAGGTAATAGCACCCAGGCTGAGAATGGGGGGGGGGGGGGGCTTTTTATTGTG